ATTTCTCAGCTTCCTGTCACATACTTCATTGGTCTGGCTAATTTTTACAGTCACATCTAGCAGACAATTTTCTTTTCTTTCTTTTTTCTTTTTCTTTCTTTTTTTTTTATTTTTTCAGTCTAGTGAAATGTTGCAGTGTGGTGTAGTCAAATGTATTTTATATTGGCAGGAAAGTATAATCAAAATATTTTAAAGGTTTCTCAAGAGAAAGTGTTGAGCTAAATGGAATTTGGAATGTGGGCTGGCCCTGCTTTTTGCTGGTAGCCTTTAGCTACATGAGATTTCTAGGAAGGATGTTTGTGTATTTTTTTTTTCGTTTAGCTTTCTGGGGAATAAGATGCTCTTAGTATCAACGCCTCTGGCTTCTGTGATTATACTCTCCCTACAACTGCGGCTGTTTGACAACCATCTATCACTCTTATTTCCCATTCCCATCCAGCCCACTGTGGGCCTAGAACCAACCCCAACCTCAAGCAGAGGAACTGAAACAATTCTAGAACTCAGTGTTGCCCTTGGTGTTGCTCTGATCTTGATCTTGTGCCTCAATTCTAACATTAAACTTCTCTTTTGTTCCTGAGATGTTGTTCCCAGTTCATTAGGGGAAATGGACCCTTATTTTGGCATTCTTGGTCTGAGTCTCTGCGCTCAAGGCTTTATCTAACTCAGAACTCGGGACTCAGGGCCCACCTGCACTAGCCATGCCTCCTCCTAAGTCTGAAGTTCTCTCCTTGCACTGTGGCCTGGTAGTAAGGGCCTTGCTGCTTACAAACAGACTTCCCCAATGAGGTCTGCCTTCCTCCCCAGTTGCTTAAGAAGTCCTTATTGCTGGGGTCTGTTTTTGCTCTACCTGCTCCCCTCAAATCCTTGGTGGATGACCAATTACTGTTGTTTTGGTGACCTCTTGTCTGTGGTCACGCCTGCTGGATTTCATGTCCTGCCTTTGACAAGGAACTTACCCCAGCATCTGTATCTTACAGTGCCCCTGAGGGCCTGCTATATTCCAGCAAGGGAGAAGTCCGGGGCTTGGTCCTGCCTGTCTTGAGCTGCCCTTTTCACTGCAATTCACAGCCCTATTGATCTTGAGATAGAACAAGTGGTGGTCTTCATGGTCAAAGAGTTAAATCAAAGCTTTCAAATACTTTTTCAGCCCCTTCTCTAACTTCTTAAACTGTAAGCTTTCCCTAAGATTCTAACAGAATCTTGGCTCTAAAGTCAGGTTCTTTAAGACTAAAGTAGGTTCTATATGGCCATGTGGATGGACAAGAATGTCCTTTTCAATAAAAAGCCATTTGTAATGAAATCTTTATGTAAAAATTCCTCTGACTGATTCCATATCAGTCTTAGTTCTCATGCCTTGTCTCCTTGTCCCCTAGGCTCTGTGTGTTAACTCTGGTTCTAGTGCCCTGCCCATCCAGAGCTGAAACGTAATTATGACGTTAATCCGGCTCCACATTTTCTTTATTGACCTGGTTTGGGCAAGCTGCCTGTACCACTTCTAGTATTCCAACGGAGTACCTTCTGATTGTGCATTTAGTCCTGCTGTCCTGGCCCTGCCAACTGACAGAAAGTATAATTCACTGTAAGATTGAGTTAAGACACTATCTCCAAGCTTCTAGTTTTGTTGTATTCACTTTCCTGAGTCAGGCTCACAGAGTTCCAGCCTCTATGTGACTATTTCCCTGAATTATATATGCCACCCTGACCTGTCTCCTGAGCTCTAAAGTATGTGGTCCGCATTCCAGCTAATGGCCTCACCATTCACCTTACAATCTAAGCTAGGAACCTCAGACTTGCTGTTGAGATACATCAAAACAAAAGAGCCATTATCCATGTAATCAGAACTAAGGCCCCAGCAGTCAACTCAGAAATAGGATTGGATGCTTAGCTCTGCACATGAGAAATTGCATCATATCAGTTCTCAAGAATTCCGCTTACACCCATAGAACTCATAGGGAACTACACCCACAGAACTAATAGGGAACTAATTTTTTTTAACTTTTGTTATAGATTCAGGGGTACATGTGCAGGTTTGTTATATAGGTATATTCGTGTCACAGGGATTTCTTGTATGGATTATTTTGTCACTCAAGTACCTAGCTTAGTACCCAATAACTATTTTTTCTGGTATTCTCCCTTCTCCCCCATCCAGATCTCAAGTAGATCCCAACGTTTGTTGTTCTTCTCTTTGTGTCCATCTGTTCTCATAATTTAGCTCCCACTTATAAGTGAGAACTTGTGGTATTTGGTTTTCTCTTCCTACGTAAGTTTGCTAAGGATGATGGCCCCCAGCTCCATCCATGTTCCTGCGAAGGACAAGATCTCGTTCTTTTTTATGGTTATATAGTATTCTATGGTGTATATGTACCACATTTTCTTTATCCAGTCTACCATTGATGGACACGTAGGTTGATTCCATGTCTTTGCTATTGTGAATAGTGCCGCAATGAACATGTGCATGCATGTGTCTTTATGATAGAACGATTTATATTCCTTTGGGCATATACCCAGTAGTGGAATTGCTGGGTCAAATGGTAGTTCTGTTTTTAGCTCTTTGAAGAATCCTCAGACAACTTTCCACAATGTCTGAACTAATTTACACTCTCACAAATAGTGTATAAGCATTTTCTCTTTTCTGCAACCTCTCCAGCATCTGTTTTCTTTGACTTTTTAATCATAGCCATTCTGACTGGTGTGAAATGTTATCTCATTGTGTTTTTGATTTGCATTTATCTAATGATCAGTGATATTGAGCTTTTTTTCATATGCTTATTGGCCACATGTATAATATGTCTTCTTTTTTAAAAGTTTCTGTTCATGTCCTTTGTCTACTTTTTAATGGAGTTTTCTTTCTTATAGGTTGGTTTAAGTTCTTTATAAATGCTGGATATTAGACCTTTGTCAGATGCGTAGTTTGCAAAAATTTTCTCTAATTCGTAGGTTGTCTGTTACTCTGTTGAGTTTCTTTTGCTGTGCAGAAGCTTTTAAGTTTAATTACATCCCATTTATCAATTTTTGCTTTTGTTGTAATTGCTTTTGGCATCTTCATCATGAAATCTTTGCCAGACAGGGAACTAATTTTTAACCCAGAATTCTGTTTGGTAAATTTAGAATGGGGATTATAATGGGGTATCCAACTTTCCTTTTATTGCATTCTTACAGTTCACAATCCATAGTCACTTTTTAAAAACATTTATTTTACAGACAGAGAGTCTCACTCTGTCATCCAGACTAGAGTACAGTGGCATGATCATAACTCACTGCAACCTCAAACTCCTGGGCTCAAGCAATCCTCTTGCCTCAGCCTCCTGAGTAGCCAGGACGATAGGTACACAATACTATGCCTGGCTAATTTTTAAAAATTACTTTTTGTAGAGATGGGGGGATCTCACTATGTTGACCAGGCTGATCTTGAACTCTGGGCCTCAAGTGATCCTCCCACCTTGGCCTCCCAAAATGTTGGGATGACAGGTCCATAGTCCCTCTTCCAGAGAAACTTCCCTGAGCAGATGAGTTATCAGAGGGTTCCATGGAAGAAACAGGCTTTGAGTAAAGGAGTGGAGTAAACTTGAGAGATTCTCATTATGAGCATGTCAGAATAATCAGAGTAATCCGTGTTTCTATAGAGAGATGGCATCAACTCTCACATTCACATAAGGTGTAAAAAGTAAACTCCTCTTGATGTCTTTCTAGCAAGCATCAAGAGGAGTTTACTTGTTATACCTTATGTGAATGTGAGAGTTTATGCCATCAACTCATCCTTGGTAGCTAATGAGAAGACAGGTGTTGAAGTTAGATCATCCCTACATTCATTCACAAAGTTGGAACAATGAGGGAGCACTTAGTGCCAAGTACCCTGAGAAACACACACTGTCTCTCTACCTCTCATATAATACAACAACTCTATGAAATAGATCTTACATATCCTTGTTGTGGTTGAGTTATGCACTCCCAAACGGTATGTCCAAGTCCTAACCCCAGGTACCTGTGAAAGTGGCCTTATTTGGAAATAAGGTCTTTGCAGATGTAATGTTAAGATGAAGTCATACTGAATATGGTGGACCCTAAGTCCAATATGACTAGTGTCCTTATAAGAAAAGGAAGCGACACAGAGACACAGAGAAAAGAGAATGTGAAGAGACACAAGGAAAATGCCAATAATGACAGAGTCAAGAGATTGGAATCACATGTCTGTTAGGCAAGAAATGCCAAGGATTGCTGGTAACCACCTGAAGCTAGAAGAGACAAGGATGGATTCTTCCCCAGAGCCTTCTAAGGAAGCACAGCCCTGCTGTATTAGTACACTGTCACACTGCTATAAAGAAAGACCTGAGACTGGGTAATTTATAGAGAAAAGAGGCTTTAATGGGCTCATGGTTACATAGGCTATACAAGAAGCATGGCCGCTTCTGCTTCTGGGGAGGCCTCGGGGAACTTTAACTCCTGGCGTAAGATGAAGCAGGAGCAGTTGTCTTACATGGCAGGAGCAGGAGGAAGAGAGAAGGGGGAGGTACTACACACTTTTTTTTTTTTTTGAGACGGAGTCACCCAGGCTAGAGTGCAGTGGCCAGATCTCGGCTCACTGCAAGCTCTGCCTCCCGGGTTTACGCCATTCTCCTGCCTCAGCCTCCCGAGTAGCTGGGACTACAGATGCCCGCCACCTCGCCCGGCTAGTTTTTTTGTATTTTTTAGTAGAGACGGGGTTTCACCGTGTTAGCCAGGATGGTCTCGATCTTCTGACCTCGTGATCCGCCCATCTTGGCCTCCCAAAGTGCTGGGATTACAGGCTTGAGCCACTGCGCCCGGCCGGTGCTACACACTTTTAAACACTCACGAGAACTCACTCACTATCACGAGAACAGCACCGAGGGGATGGTGCTAAACCAATCATGTGAAATTGTTCCCATGATCCAATTACCTCCCACCAGGCCTCACCTCCAACACTGGAGATTACAATGGAACATAAGATTTGGGTGAACACAGATCCAAACCATATCCCCTGCTGACACCTTGATTACAGACTTCTGGCCTCCAGAATTGTGTGAGAGAGAATAAATTTCTGTTGTTTTAAGCTACCCTGTTTGTGCTACTTTGTTAAGATAGCCCTAGGAAACTATTACAACCTCCATTTTCCAAATGAAGTAAGGTATGCTCGGAAATGCTGCTTTACCCAATTGCAATTTCTTAGAGCTCCCTGACTGCAAACTCTTGAACCACATGCTCCTTTACTCCCTTGCTGGTTGATCTAGCCTATTAGGTGCTGGTTCCCTTTCTCTTCTGTTAACATCATATTCTAGATAAATGACAACATCTTCAAGATAAATTACATAACAACATCAGCATTCTCCCAAGTCTGATTGTGCAGAACATTAGTTCTATGAGATGTTAGACTGTTAGCATGCAAAAAAAAAAAAAAGTTTTCAAGGTTGAAAAAAAGAGACAGCGAAATTCTGTGTAAATCAGGCTTTTTTGTTTGGTTTTTTTTCTGTAGGACCTCATAGAAACTTCAAAATGTACTGTGAATCTCTAAAAGGGGCATATTAGAGCTTGCCGTGTTTCTCAGGCTGATTTGACCAAGAAAGTCTTTTCTTTACAGAGCATCTCGTGGATTCGTGTTTAGTGGGAGATACTGTGGGAAGTGCTAACTTGAAGGATTAATAACTCTTTTCTTTTCTTTTTTTGACATCATTTACATGCCAACCATGTTTTTTGAGTATTATCTTCACATAGATGTCTAAAGAAGAATTGAAAAATATTCTTGCTGCATCAGAAATATGTTGACAAACCACCTTTTGGGGTAGGTTAAATTAACTACTGCTTTACCATACCTCCTTTATTCTTTAGATCATTATATGGATTCTCAGGGTCAAGGTCTTCTAGTCAAAGGCCATTAGGGACATGGCTGTCGTTAACAAAATTGGGTTCATGGACTTCTTGTATCCAGAGAAAATGCACACCATTGGACACTGCGGTGTCTCAGGAAAGGTTGTTAGTCAGGAATTATATATACTATAAGATTTGTGCTCATGTTAGGTAATTTGAGGATAATATTCCAGGAAGTAGGGCTTTGCAGAAGCAAATGTGGTTTTTAGTTCTTCTAACAGACTCTGAAAACAGGGACCCAGATTATCGTACCCAAGCAATGAAAATATGTCCCCCCAAATTTGTGTGTTCTTTTCTAGATGTCCAATAGGCTTTCCTCCCACAGTCATGGGCTGCTCCATAGTATTTATACATGTGCAGCAAGAAGTGGTTAGCACAAATTTCTCTTTAGCTAGCTAAGAAGAGATTTAAGGCTACGTGATAATCCATGACAACTCTGCCTTACAAATTTAAATTTAAACCTAGGCTTCCAGAGCAGAAGTAGTATAATTGATGACTTTTTTTCAGGCTCAGAGACAAGTTTTAGGTGATACTTTCCAGCTGTAGCTGTCATCGCTTGTATAGTGTCATTTTTAAGTGTCAACTTGACTGGATTAAGGAATACCTGAACAACTTGTAAAGCATGACTTCTGCGTATGTCTGTGAGGGTGTTTCCAGAGGAGATTATTGTGTGAATCAGTGGACTGTGTGGGGAACCTCTGCTCTCAATCGGTGGGCACTGTCTAATTGGCTTGGGGCCAGAATAGAGCAAAAAATAAGAGAAAGGGATTTGCTCTCTTGCTCCTGGAGCTGGGACGTTCTTCTCCTTCTGCCCTTAGACATTAGAACTCCAGGCTCTCTGGCCTTAGGACTCCAGAACTTTCAGCAGTGGGTCCCCGGGTTCTCAGGCCTCCAAACTCAGCCTGAGAATTACACCTGGTTCTGAGGCCAACTGAAGCACGCTGTTAGCATCCCAGGTCTCTAGCTTGCAGATTGCCTGTTGTGGGACTTCTTAGCCTCCATAATTGTGTGAGCCAATTCCCCTAATAAATCTCCTCTCATCCAAATATCTATCTATATCTATCTATCTATCTATCTATCTATCTATTATGTATCTACCAATTATCTATCATCTGTCAATCATCTATCAATCATGTATTATCTATCGATTATCATCTATCAATTACCCATCATCTATCAAATATCTATCATGTATCTATCATCTATCAGTTATCTATAATCTATCATTTATCTATCAATCATCTATTATCTATCAATTATCTATCAATTATCTATCATCTATCTATCATCTATAATTCTATAATATCCTATTGGTTCTGTCTGTCTGAAGAACCCTGACCAAAACACATAGTATGCAACACAAGAATGCAGCCCTCTGTCTGAAGAGTTATCTCAAGTGGACTGTGCTTGAGTTTTTTGGAGATTTCTTTGCATTCTTTTTAGGGAAACAACATCCACTGGAGGGGTGGTAGTTTTAAACAACTGAAATTCTCTAACAATTTTCCTGAATACACAGGAAAGTTAGTGTGTGGCAGGTGACCGTAAGCCTTATGTCCACATAAGAAGGACTGTCCTGGTGAAGCAGAAACTGTATTAATATTGGCAATTTAAAAATCGTTACTTACAACAGGAATTCACCATTTTCTTTATTTGGTCGTGGTGGAGGCAGTGTCACTAGAGATGAGAAAATTCCTTCAGTGAAGTCAAACAAGTCCTGCTAAGCAGGCTGGAGTGTCTCTGAAGTAACTATTTTTACCCAGGATAGGCCCAATCTTTGTTCTCACTCCTCAAGGATTAGAGTTTGTTGATAGACTTGTAAGGACCTCAGCAGATGTATTTTTCCGGAGTGCAGTGGTGCAATCACGGCTCACTGTAGCCTCGACTTCCTGAGTTCAAGCAATCCTCCTGCCTCAGCTTCCCAAGTATCTGAGACTTCATCTATTTTATAGGTGTTCTTGTAGTGTCAGGAGACCTCTTCTTCTTCTTCTTCTTTTTTTTTTTTTGGTTATACTTTAAGTTATGGGATACATGTGCAGAATGTGCAGGTTTGTTACATAGGTATGCAAGGGCCATGGTGGTTTGCTACACCCAACAAACCGTCATGTACATTAGGTATTTCTTCTAATGCTATCTGTCCTCTAGCTGCCCACCTGCCAATAGGCCCTGGTGTGTGATATTCCCCTCCCTGTGTCCATGTGTTCTCATTGTTCAACTCCCACTTGTAAGTGAAGACCTATGGTGTTTCCTTTTCTGTTCCTGTGTCAGTTTGCTGAGAATGATGGTTTCCAGCTTTATCCACGTCCCTGCAAAGGACATGAACTCATCCTTTTTTATGGCTGCATAGTATTCCATGGTGCATATGTGTCACATTTTCTTTATCCAGTCTATCATTGATGGACATTTGGGTTGGTTCCAAGTCTTTGCTATTTTGAGTAGTGCTGCAATAAACATACTTGTGAATGTGTCTTTTAGTGCAATGATTTATAATCCCTTGGGTATATACCCAGTGATGGGATTGCTGGGTCAAAAGGTATTTCTGGTTCTAAATACTTGAGGAATCACCACACTGCCTTCCACAATGGCTGAACTAATTTACATTCCCACCAACAGTGTAAAAGCATTCCTATTTCTCCACGTCCTCTCCAGCATCTGTTGTTTCCTGACTTTTTAATGATTGCCATTCTAACTGGCATGAGATGGTACCTCACTGTGGTTTTGATTTACATTTTTCTAATGACCAGTGATGATGAGCTTTTCTTCATATGTTTGTTGGCCACATAAATGTCTTCTTTTGAGAAGTGTCTGTTCGTATCCTTTGCCCACTTCTGATGGAGTTGTTTGCTTATTCTCGTAAATTTGTTTAAGTTCCTTGTAGATTCTGGATATTAGCCCTTTGTCAGATGGATAAATTGCAAAAATTTTCTCCCATTCTGTAGGTTGCCTGTTCACTCTGATGATAGTTTCTTTTGCTGTGCAGAAGCTCTTTAGTTTAATTAGATCCCATTTGTCAATTTTGGCTTTTGTTGCCATTGCTTTTGTGTTTCAGTCATGAAGTGTTGTCCATGCCTACGTCCTGAATGGTATTGCCTAGGTTTTCTTCTAGGGTTTTTATTATTTTACGTTTTATGTTTAAGTCTTTAACCTATCTTGAGTTAATTTTTGCATAATGTGTAAGGAAGGAGTCCAGGTTCAGTTTTCTGTATATGGCTAGCCAGTTTCCCCAGCACCATTTATTAAATAGGGAATTCTTTCCCCATTTCTTGTTTTTGTCAGGTTGTCAAAGATCAGATGGTTGTAGATGTGTGGTGTTATTTCTGCAGCCTTGGTTCTGTTCCATTGGTCTATATATCTGTTTTGGTACCAGTACCACACTGTTTTGGTTACTGTAGCCTTGTAGTATAGTTTGAAGTAAGATAGCATGATGCCTCCAGCTTTGTTCTTTTTGCTTAGGATTGTCTTGGCTATATGGCCTCTTTTTTGGTTCCATATGAAATTTAAAGTAGTTTTTTTTCTAATTCTGTGAAGAAACTCAATGGTAGCTAGATGGGGATAGCATTGAATGTATAAATTACTTTAGGCATTATGGCCATTTTCGTGATATTGATTCTTCCTATCCATGAACATGGAATGTTTTTCCATTTGTTTGTGTCCTCTCTTATTTCCTTAAGCAGTGGTTTGTAGTTCTCCTTGAAGAGATCCTTCATATCCCTTGTAAGTTGTATTCCTAGGTATTTTATTCTCTTTGTAACAATTGTGAATGGGAGTTCACTCATGATTTAGTTCTCTTCTTGTCTATTATTGGTGTATAGGAATGCTTGTAATTTTTGCACATTGATTTTGTATCCTGAGACTTTGCTGAAGTTGTTTGCTGAAGGAGGTTTTAGGCTGAGATTATGGGGTTTTGTAAATATACAATCATGTCATCTGCAAACAGAGACAATTTGACTTCCTCTTTTCCTATTCAAATATGCTTTATTTCTTTCTCTTGCCTGATTGCCCTGGCCAGAACTTCCAATGCTATATTGAATAGGAGTGGTGAGAGAGGGCATCCTTGTCTTCTGTGTATTTTCAAAGCGAATGCTTCCAGCTTTTGCCCATTCAGTATGATATTGGCTGTGGTTTTGTCATAAATAGCTCTTATTATTTTGAAATTATGTTTCATCAATATCTAGTTTATTGAGAGTTTTTAGCATAAAAGGGTGTTGAATTATGTCAAAGGCCTTTTCTGCATCTATTGAGATAATCATGTGGTTTTTGTCATTGGTTCTGTTTCTGTGGTGGATTACATTTATTGATTTGTGTGTGTTGAACCAGCCTTGCATCCCAGGGATGAAGCCAACTGGATTGTAGTGTATAAGCTTTTTGATGTGCTGCTGGATTAAGTTTGCCAGTATTTTATTGAGGATTTTTACACTGATGCTCATCAGGGAAATTGGCCTGAAATTTTCTTTTTTTTTTTTTTTTTATGTCTCTGTCAGGTTTTGGCATCAGGATGATGCTGGCCTCATAAAATGAGTTAGGGAGGAGTCCCTCTTTTTCTGTTGTTTGGAATAGTTTCAGAAGGAATGGTACCAGCTCCTCTTTGTACCTCTGGTAGAATTCGGCTGTGAATCCATCTGCTCCTGGGCTTTTTTTTTTGGTTGGTAGGTTATTAATTACTGCCTCAATTTCAGAACTTGTTATTGGAGACCTCTTCTTTTTCAATGCATTTTGAATTCAGGACTAATCCCAAATCAAATGCCAATATCAGTGTATAAGTATTCTTTTTTCTTTTGTCAGCTTGCAGGTCTGAATGAGGGCAATTTACTTTGTCATCTGAACTTATTTAAGTCTAGCTTTACCTAGACTTGCTATCACAAAGTCAGTGACAGCATATCCTACTAGTCAATTTTTACTTTTTGTTCGTTTGTTTGTTTTTTCAGTCTGAACCAACAACAAGCAAAGTTAAATTATGGATATCTCCGTACCTTGCATAGAAGGTCCATGCAAGGTATGGAGAGTTCCTCAACAGAGGCAATCAATCATCAGCTTCTTTTTCTACAGATGAAGGAGAGAGGGTCACTGGGTTTAGAGTGTTACAGTGATGAACAGTGATATTTGAAGGGAAACTAACAATTTCCTCAGAGATTAAGTGACTAGCTGAAAAATCTTGAGTCATATCTATCAATAAAACAGGGGAATTATTAGGTTTAGTGTAGACCCTAGAACTAGTTTGACTGAGTCACTCCAGCTTCCACAAGCTTTGCTGCAGCTGCTAGAACTCTTAGACAAGACAATTATGCTGTGACTACTGGAGCTAATGAAAGACTGAAATAAATAATAGATTTTTGATGAGTCCCATGTCATTGAGTCAAAGCCCCTAGTGTTTTTTCAGACTTCTCATGACAAAAAAGTAAAGTGGGGTTGCTAATTGAGAATCTTGGAAAAAGATATTTTGATACACAGTTATTACTGTAATCTTTGTGCTTAAACATGAGCATTCTTTTTTTAACTCAAAAAAGGGTACAGTCCTTAAAAGATATTTATATTAGCATATTTTACTTAAATATAATTAACTTAGAAAAAATAAAAATATTTTTATCAGCTTTTATTAGTAAGTTTGGTAAATAAAAGAGCTCTCATAATAATTTTAAATTAATTTAAATTCAAAGGATATTTGAAAATCTAATTATTCCCATTGTCTTTCCTTTCATAGAATGACAAAACAAATCTTGTGTTACCTAATAGCCATTACAGTAAAACCAAAGATAGTGTAGGCACAAAAGACATATTAATAGCTTGATTATTCTGAATTTGGGGCCTGAATTTTGGAAGGAATCAAGAATAGTTGTTCCAGGAGACAAGATGTAAGTCATAAGTATCTAGGGTCCATAAATAATAGACGACATTGTAAAAACACATAGCAATTAACAATAGTCATTAGAAACAACATTTTATTAAAGCAAGGAGTCTTTTTAAAAATGATTTAAAAGTGTCAAAAAGCACTGAAAGTTAACAGAATATTTTATTAACAAAAAGAAATATTTACTAATATGGGCATAGCATAACTTAATTTTTGTATATTAAAAAGACTCCAATTCTAACTTTACTCTTTTTATACATCATTCATGTAACATTCTACAGTAGAGAATTTATTAATGTGCCTTTACATGTATACATTTAGGCATACACAGATATGTAAATATACAAATAGATAATACGCTTTAAATTTTACATTTTAACTATAGTTTTAAAATTAAATCTATTAGATAAAATAATATATATGTCAAAATAAAATTTACCCTCTGAATAAATGGTTTCAACTTTCCTAATAAACAGAAAATCAGCAGGATATTTATTATCCTGTATACATATTTGTGTTACTCTGTATTAAGCATTTATATTAATTATCATCTTTAACCAAAGTAATCAACTTTCCTTTTCTTTAGGCACAAAAGAAAAAGGAGAGAAAACATAACTTACTTAGATATTTTTTTGGTCTACTAGTATTTATTGCATACAATTTAAACAGTTTCAATATGTAAATATATGATGTCATTCAAAGGAATTTGCATATTTTGTTAATCTATTGTCATTTTAAGAAGTAAAGGTAATTGTATTTAATGACTAGTGTTTTTATGTTTCTTATTTAGAAATTGTCTAGGCATCCAAAGGATTATTATCAATTAACCATTTGTCTAAGTCCTTAAAGTTTGTTAAGGATCAGGAAATTACAATTTTAGTTAACAAATGAAATCTTATGATTTGTAGCATTGTAAGAATTTTATAAAAATTATAAAGGCATTTATTATTATCATTCACTTTAGCTTAATACAATTTTATATATATTAAACTAAAATTCTAAATTTAGACAAGTTATAGAAATAGTGGAATCTTGTTGAACTCATACAACCAATGTAGAAAATTCAGTTTAATAAAAAAAAATTTAACTCAGGCCTTGTAGAAACCAAAATATTGCAGTGACACTAGTTTTTGTATTAAAGTAATTTTTTGAAGACTCTGAATCATGTCAAACATGTAATCTTTTAACTTATATATAATGCCTGTTCTTCTTTTCTCATAATTATAATAAAGGCTACTATGTAAATATACTGTTAGTGTCCACAGAAAGAAATGCAGTTTAATAACATTTTTTCCCTTTTTTTTTTCAGACATTTTGACTATTTATCTGAACTAGATATCCCTTGAATGTGCACACAAAAAGTGAATGGCTCATTTGATAAGGTAAAGATTAATTTCTGAAGAGGGGGAAAAGAGAAAGAGAGGAGGGGGAATAGAGGGAAAAAAAGAAAGTAAAGGGAATCTGCTGCAGATGAATATGAAATCAACACCCAAAAAAAGGCTAATTATGTTCCCTCTGAAAAGAGAGGGAGGAAGGTTTTTATGTAAAAGAATAGATTTTGAAATAAAAAAAGAGTGACATTAAAATTGGTTTAAGCCCTTGGCGATTTTATCAATTAACCAGCACTTATTAATTCCTAAAGTATGGAAATAAAAGAAGGGGCTATCACCAACTTTGAACAAAAGAATCACTGTTAGTCAAACAGAACAATCTTCTCTTGAAGATTTCTTCACTTTTCTAAAGTGCCTCTAAAGTAAACCATCGTGTTTGTATTCAAAGTTCCTCAGCGTGGCCATTGCGATTCCAGATTGTCCTTGGTGAAACTGTGCCCGCTGTAGAGATAAACATGCACGTTTGTGTTACAGTGCAGAAATCTGAAAGAAACAGGTATCTGGAAGAAGTGCAGTTTTAGATTGAGTGGAGCCCATCAGAGGTGAACTTGTCTGACCTTGATTCTCCGATCTTGAGTCTCCAGAATTTGGGCAAAAGTCAAGTGTCTACAATGAGGGCTGAGAAACGAAAAAAAGATAAGACAGAGGAAGTCCTTACAAGTTTTTAAATGGTGACCTGACACAAAGTTTATCCAAAGGCCAAAGTTTGTCCAAAGCATGTGAGTCCTGAATTCTCAGTCCCTGGAGCCAGAGGACAGACTTATGGGGACTTGGCTTGTCCTTGCCTTATGGGCTTTTCCTTGTATAAACGAACAACACTCAGGACAATAGACAAATCATAGAACAGATGTTAGAGGCTAGAACACAGTATTTCCGACTGACTAGATTTGCAACAAGTTTTACAGACTAGAAAGACTCTGAGGATCTATTCCTAGGAAAACAAAATAAACACATTGCTGACAGTTCTCAACAAAATATCAGAGCCTAGCCATGAACAGGGTCCCACATGTATGCATCATTACTGGGTCAAGAGTACTTGCTTAAGGCAGCAAGGACTTCAGAAGAATCTCATGACACTCCATTTTTGTCAGTCCTTCAGAGCCCAAGACCACCAAAAACACTCCTGTAATGGAACAAGTTGGCTTTATTACTAATAGCAACAAAGCTTTTGAAAGTCTTCTCTCGTCTTCCTGAGGAATCACCTCTCCAGGTGTACAGAGACAGTGTGGGTAGGTTGTCAGGAAAGGGAGAGGAAGGAGAGCTTCCCTAAGTGAAAACCTAAGTGTTTTCCTAAACACAAGCACCACTGAGCAGTTCGTAGATGGAATTTTGCAATCAAAATTGCAGGGTATTCTGTTCAAGCCACATCTTTTCTTTCCTCCATTTTGAGATAATTAAAAATTCCCATGCAGATGTAAAAAGAAATAGAAAAATCTCTTGTATCCTTTCCCCCAATGGTAACATCTTGCAAGACCATGGTATATCAGAACTCGGCTTTGTTTGTCTGTGTGTGTGTGTGTGTGTGTGTGTGTGTGTCAGAGTCTCACTCCATCAACCAGGCCGGAGTGCAACTGTGTGATCACAGTTCACTTAGCCTTGATCTCCTGGGCTCAAGTGATCCTCTCATCTCAGCCTCCTGAGGAGCTGGGACTGCAGGCATGCACCACCACACCTGGCTAATCTTTTTCATTTTCTTTCCTTTCTTTTCTTCTTTCTTTCTTTCTTTCTTTCTTTCTTTCTTTCTTTCTTTCTTTCTTTCTTTCTTTCTTTCTTTCTCTTCCTTCCTTCCTTCCTTCTTTCTTTCTTTCCTTCTTTCTTTCTTTCCTCTTTTTCTTCTTTCTTTTTCTTTCTCTTTCTTTTCTTTCTCTTTCTTTTCTTTCTCTTTTTTTCTCTTTCTTTTTTCTTTCTCTTTCTTTCTTCTTTCTTTTTCGTTCTTCTTTCTTTCTTTTCTTTCTTTCTCTCTCTCTCTCTCTCTCTGTCTCTCTCTCTCTCTCTGTCTCTCTCTCTCTCTCTGTCTCTCTCTCTCTCATAGAGATAGGGTCTCACTATGGTGCCTAGGCTCATCTCAAACTCCTGCACAGCCCAAATATGGACATTAATACAGTTATGATGTAGAACATTTCTGTCACCACAAAGGTGCCTCAAACTTGACTTTTTAGCTACCTCTACTTCCCTCCCACACCCACTGCCTTCTTAATCTCTGGCAATTACAAATCTGTGTTCTCCATTTTTATAATTTTGTCAATTGAAGGATGTTATATAAATGGGATCACACTGTATGATTAGTTTTTATTTTCATATAACATAGCTCCCTAGAGATTTATTCAAGTTACCAAATGTATTAATGGTTCACTCCTTTCGCTGCCGAGTAGAACTCCATGGTATGCGTGTACCACTGTTTAACTATTGAAGGCTAACTGAGTTATTTCCAGTTTGAGGCTATCACAAATAAAACTGCAGTAATCACTGACTTATAGGTTTTTATGTTACCATAAGTTTTCATTTCCCTGGGATAAATGCCCAGGAGTATAATTACTGGAATGCATGGTAATTGCATGTTTAGTTTTTTAGGAAACAGCCAAATTGTTTTCCAGAATGACCATATCATTTTACACTCTCACCAGCAATGTCTGAGTGATCCAGTTTCTCTGTATTTGGTGTAGTCACTATTTTTTATTTAGCCATTCTAATAAGTATGTAGTAATATCTCATTGCGGTTTTAATTTGCATTTCCCTAATGGCCGATAAGGTTGAACAATTTTTTATGTGCTTATATGCTACCTGTATATCTCCTGAAATGTTTGTTTCTATCTTTTGCCCATTTTCTAATTGGTTTTTTTATTTGTTTGCTTGTTTTACTGTTGATTTTCAAGAGTTCTTTATATATTCTAAATAATCCTGTTTTGATAAGTGATTTGCAAATATTCTGTCCCAGTCTGTAGCTTATATTTTCATCCTCTTAGCAGAGTATTTTGTGGAGCAAAAATTTATCATCTTGATGAGCTCCAATTTATCAGCTTTTTCTTTTATGGATCATGTTTTTGGTGTCAAGTCAAAGAACTCTTTGCCAGTCCTAGATCCCAAAATTTTTTTTCCTAAAAATTTTATAATTTTACATTCTAGGGAAAACTAGGTTCTAAGATGGCTGAATAGGAACAGCTCCAGTCTGCAGCTCCCAGTGTGAGCAATGAAGAAGATGGGCGATTTCTGCATTTCCAACTGAGGTACCAGGTTCATCTCACTGGGGCTTGTCAGACAGTGAGTGCAGCCCACGGAGCAGGGCAGGGCATCGCCTCACCTGGGAAGCACAAGGGGTCGGGGAATTCCCTTTCCTAGCAAAGGGAGGCCGGACAGACGGTACCTGGAAAATCAGGACACTCCCACCCTAATACTGCACTTTTCCAATGGCCTTAGCAAATGGCACACCAAGAGATTATATCCCTCTGACCCACCTGGCTCATTGCTAGCACAACAGTCTGAGATTGAACTGCAAGGTGGCAAATCAAAACCACAATGAGATACCATCTCACACTAGTTAGAATGGCAATCTTTAAAAAGTCAGGAAACAACAGGTGCTGGAGAGGATGTGGAGAAATAGGAATGCTTTTACACCCTTGGTGTAAACTAGTTCAACCATTGTGGAAGACAGTGTGGTGATTCCTCAAGGATCTAGAACTAGAAATACCATTTGACCCAGCCATCCCATTACTGGGTATATACCCAAAGGATTATAAATCATGCTACTATAAAGACACATGCACACATATGTTTATTGCGGCACTATTCACAATAGCAAAGACTTGGAAACAACCCAAATGTCCATCAATGACAGACTAGATTAAGAAAATGTGGCATGTATACACCATGAAATACTATGCAGCCATCAAAAAGGACGAGTTCATGTCCTTTGTAGGGACATGGAGGAAGCTGGAAATGATCATTCTCAGCAAACTATCACAAGAACAGAAAACCAAACACCACTTGTTCTCACTCATAGGTGGGAACTGAACAATGAGAACACTTGGACACAGGATGGGGAACATCACACATTGGGGACTGTCATGGGGTGGGGGAAGAGGGGAGGGATAGCATTAGGAGATATACTTAATGTAAATGATGAGTTAATGGGTGCACACACAAACATGGCACATGTATACATATGTAACCTGCACGTTGTGCACATGTACCCTAGAATTTAAAGTATAATAATAATTTTTTTAAAATTTGCATTCTACATGAAGTCTGTGCTGCATTTTAGTTAATTTTTGTATAAGGTGTGAGATTTGTTTCAAGGTTTGTTTTTTTGCCTATGGCTATCCAATTGCTCCAGCGCCTCTGAAAAGCCTGTCTTTCCTCCACTGTATTGTTTTTGCACTTTTGTAAACAATTAGTTGAGCATAGTTATGTGAGTTTGTTTCTGGGTTTGTATTCTTTTCTGTTGATCTATGTGTTTGTCCTTCAGCCAATACCATACAATCTTAATTACTTTAGCTATAAAATAAGTCTTGGAATTAGATGGATTGATTCTTCCCACTTCAATCTTCTTTTTCAAAATGTTTTAGCTATTCTAGTTCCTCTGCCTTTTCATTTAAGATTTAGAATAATCCTATCAATATCTACAAAAAAAACTTACAAGGATTTTACTGGGAATTGCATAATTTTGTGTATAAATCTGGGGATAATTGATATCTTTATTCCATTGCCTTCTAATCTATGGCATGGCATGTTTCTTTACAACTTTAATTTCTTTCACCAGTAATTTGTAGTTTTCAGCATTCAAGTCCTGTACATGTCTTGTGAGATTTACACCTGTCTTTCATTTTAATTTTGAATGAATATAAACAGTATTGCATTGTTAACTTCAGTGTGTTCATATGTGTGTTACTAGTATATAAAATATAATCGATTTTCTATGTTTATTTTGTATTCTGCCACTTCGCAAAATTCACTTATTAGCTCTATGAGATTTTCCTTTTCTTTGTGTGTGTGCATGTATGTGTATGTTTGTAGGTCTCTTGGGATTTTCTATGTAATTATGTCATCTACAAATAGGTAGTATTTTATTTCTTCCTTTCTAATCTATATGATATTTATTTCCTTTTTGTGTTTTTGCCTCATTCCACTGGTTAGAACTTATAGCACTATGTTGAATAAGATCAGTGAGAATGGACATCCTTGCATTGCTCCTGATCTTATGGGGGAGACACTCAGTCTTTTACTATGAAGTATAATGTTATCTATAGGTTTTTTTGTATATGCTCTTTATCAGGTTGAGGAAGTTCCTCTTTACTCCTATATTTCTGAGAGTTTTGATTGTGAATGGATATTGAATTTTGTCATGCACTTTTTAAAATATTAATTGATATGATTACTTGGTCATGGTGTATAATTCTTTTCATATATTGCTAAATTATATTTGATGGTATTTTGCTAAGGATATTTTGCACCTATATTCACAGGGGATATTCATCCATAGTCTTTTGTTTTGTTCTGTATTATCTTTGCCTCATTTTGGTATCAGGGTAATACTTAGCTTCAATAAAATAAATTGAGAAACACCTTTCTCTTCTATTTTCTGGAAGACACTGCATGAAATTGATGTTAATTCTTATTTAAATAGTTGGTAGAATTCTCCAGTGAAGCCATCTGAATCTGGAGGTTTCTTTTTTTAGAGTTTTTCAATTAAGAATTTAATTTCCTTAATAGTTATGGGGATATTCAAATTATCTACTTAATGTTGAGTGAGTTATTTTTCATTTTATGAGGAATTAGTCTAGTTCCTCTAAGTTGTGAAATTTATGTTTGTAGGGTTATTCAAAGTTTTTCTCATTATTCTTTTGATGCCTCAGGTATCTATCGATAGTGTTATCTCCTGTTTTATTCCTGACAATGGAAATTTATGTCTGTTCTATTTTTTTTGTACCTCTTGCTAAAGATTTGTCAGGAGATGTAATATTTTATTTAATATATGCAATTTTTAGTTCATTATTGTCTTCATCTGTTCTGCTACTATAAGAAAGTTACCTGGCCAGGCATGGTGGCTCACGCCTGTAATCTCACACTTTGAAGGCCAAGGTGGTAGGATCACTTGAGCTCAAGAGTTCAAGACCAACCTGTGCAACATGGAGAGACAGCATCTCTACAAAAAAAGAAAAATAGCTGGGCATGGTGGCATGCACCTGTAATCAATTGTATTGATTGTTTTCAAATAACCAGTTTTTCATTTCATTTTTTTCCCTATTTTTTTCTGTTTTCAATTTCTTGATTTCTGCTCTTTACTATTTCCTTCCTTTTGCTTGCTTTTTTTTTTCTTGAGGATGGAGCTTATATTCTTATTTCGTGACTTTTCCTTTTTGTAATGTATGCATTTAATATTATACAGTTTTGTCCTAATACTGCATTTGCTACATCTCACAAATTTATATTTTCACTTTTATTCAGTTCAATATATTTTTTGTTTCCCTTGAGACTTCCTCTTTGACCCATGGATTATTTAGAAGTGTGTTGTTTAGTTTTCAAGTGTTTTGAGGGTTTCTTGTTATCTTTCTGCTGCTGATTTCTAGTTTGATTCCCTTGTGGTTAGAAAACACATTCTATATTATTTCAATTATTTGAAATCTATCGAGGCTTGTTTTATGTCCCAGGATGTGGTTTATCTTGGTATACGTTTTGTGAACACTTAAAAGCTTAAGTATTTTGCTCTTGTTGGGTGAGGTGTTTTATACATGTCAATTTGATCCTGTTTGTTGATGGTGTTTTTAGTTTTTCTATACCTTTGTTGAGTTTTTGTCTATTTGCTTCATCAATTGCTGAGAGAGGTCCTTGAAGTCACCAAGTATCTCTCCTTTCAGTTTTATCAGTTTTGCTTCAGTTTTGCCACTCTGTTGTTTGGTGCATACCCATTTAGAATTGGTATGTCTTCTTAGTGGTTAAACCCTGTTATTATTATATAGTGTCCCTCACTGTCTCTGGCAATGTCCTTTGCTTTGAAGTCCATTTTATTTGATACTAAAAGAGCTATCCCTTATTTCCTTTGATTTGAATAGCAAGCATTTTTCCATCCTTTTACTTTCAACCAGCCAATACTGCTATTTGAAGTGTTTGTTGTAGGCAGTACATAATTGGGTCATTTAAAAAATATATTCCATTCCTCTATCTTTTAATTGGTATATTTAGATTACTTATATTTAATGTAATTATTGATGAATCAGGGATGTCTGCCATTTTATTTTTTGTTTTCTGTTTTTATTGTCTCTCTTCTTTTTCCTGCCTCGTTGTTGGTTATCCGAATGCTTTTTAGAATTCCATTTTTATTTATCTGTAATGTTTTTGAGTGTATCCCTTTGTATATCATTTTAGTGGATGCTCTAGGTATTTTCTCTCTATATATATATATATAAAGATATATATATGTATATATATAAAGATCTATATGTATATACATAAAGATATATATATAAAGATATATATAAAGATATATATGTGTATATATATCTTATGATAGTCTATTAGCATCATCATTCTACCAATTCAAGTGAAGTATAGAAAATTTATTTCCTCTTACATCTCTTTACCTTCCCTCATTTATAATATAATTGTCTTAATAATTCCTCTACATCCATTTAAAACCACATCAGGCAGCATTAACGTTTTTATTTCAAAACATTAAATGTAACTTAGACTCTAAAAGAGAAGGACAGCCTATTGTATTTACACATATTTTGGCTTACCATGTTCTTTCTTATTTTCTAATATTCTAAGATTCCTTCTTTTATGAATTCCTTTCTGCTTAGATAACTTCCTTTAGTCATTATTTGTTGTTGTTGTTGTTGTTGTTTTTAGATGGAGTTTCACTCTAGTTGCCCAAGCTGGAGTGCAATGTTATGATCTCAGCTCATTGCAACTTCTGCCTCCCAGATTCAAGCGATTCTCCTGCCTCAGCCTCCCAGGTAGCTGGGATTACAGGCACCTGCCACTAGGCCCAGCTAATTTTTGTATTTTTAGTAGAGATGGAGTTTCACCATGTTGGCCAGACCGGTCTTGAACTCCTGACCTCAAGTGATCCACCAGCCTCAGCCTCCCAAAGTGCTGGAATTACAGATGTGAGCTACCATGCCCAGCCTGGTCATTCTTTTAAGATAGATCTGCTGACAACAAAGTCTCAGTTTTCTGTCTGAAAAAGTCTTGATTTTCTCTTTGTACTTGAAGGATGTTTTTGCTGGACATAGAATGCTAGGTTGGCAGGTCTTTTCTTTCAGCATTTGAGAAATGTGCCATTTCCTTCTGTCCTCCACAGTTTCTGATGAGAAATCTGCTATTCAGTAGTTTTAGGCTGCAATATCACAGGGAAGTATTCATGTCAACATGGGCACCAGGTCACAAGTTCCCTAAGTTTGAAGTGTCAACTTCGACCAAACAAATTAATGGCTATTCTATATTCAAAAATCAGGAAGTTTAAATTTATTATGAAGTGTAATGCAGCATATATTAAAGACTTAACCAGCGTTTTAAAACTCAGCTTTCAAAGAAAAGATAGTATTGCTCCCTGTTTCATTAAAACCTAGAGAGATGTAATCGGTAAGCAAGAAGGAAAAAGGGAAATTCACAAAGTAACTTTTTATGTCTGTTTCTTTTTAACCCAGCATGGAAAGAAAATTTATGTCCTTGCATCCATCCATCTCCGTATCAGAAATGGAACCAAATGGCACCTTCAGCAGTAACAACAACAGCAGAAACTGCACAATTGAAAACTTCAAGAGAGAATTTTTCCCAGTTGTATATCTGATAATATTTGTCTGGGGAGTCTTGGGAAATGGCTTGTCCATATATGTTTTCCTGCAGCCTTATAAGAAGTCCACATCTGTGAATGTTTTCATGCTAAATCTGGCCATTTCAGATCTCCTGTTCATAAGCACACTTCCCTTCAGGGCTGACTATTATCTTAGAGGCTCCGACTGGATATTTGGAGACCTGGCCTGCAGGATTATGTCTTATTCCTTGTATGTCAACATGTACAGCAGTATTTATTTCCTGACCGTGCTGAGTGTTGTGCGTTTCCTGGCAACTGTTCACCCCTTTCGGCTTCTGCATGTCACCAGCATCAGGAGTGCCTGGATCCTATGTGGGATCATATGGATCTTTACCATGGCTTCCTCAGTAATGCTCCTCAACAATGGCTCTGAGCAGAAGGGCAGTGTCATATCATGCTTAGAGCTGAATCTCTACACAATTACTAAGCTGCAGACCATGAACTATATTGCCTTAGTGGTGGGCTTCCTGCTGCCGTTTTTCACACTCAGCATCTGTTATCTGCTGATCATTCGGGCTCTGTTAAAAGTGGAGGTCCCAGAATCGGGGCTGCGGGTTTCTCACAGGAAGGCACTGACCACCATCATCATCACCTTGATCATCTTCTTCTTGTGTTTCCTGCCCTATCACACACTGAGGACCCTTCACTTGGTGACATGGAAAGAGGATATATGCGAAGACAGGCTGCATAAAGCTGTGGTTATCACACTGGCCTTGGCAGCAGCCAATACATGCTTCAATCCTCTGCTCTATTACTTTGCTGGGGAGAATTTTAAGGACAGACTAAGGTCTGCACTCCGAAAAGGCCATCCATAGAAGGCAAAGACAAAGCGTGGTTTCCCTGTTAGTGTGTGATTGAGAAAGGAAACAAAAGTATAAGGAGTTCTTAGATGAGACTTGTTCTTGTATCATTGTGTCCATCTTCATTCACGCATAGTCTCCAAATGACTTTGTATTTACATCATTCCCAACAAATGTTGATTCTTAATATTTAGTTGACCATGACTTTTGTTAATAAGAACGACTTCAAAAATTTTATTCAGTATATTTTCAGTTGTTGAGTCTTAATGAGGGATACAGGAGGAAAAATCCCTACTAGAGTCCTGTGGGCTGAAATATCAGACTGGGAAAAAATGCAAAGCACATTGGATCCTACTTTTCTCCAGATATTGAACCAGATATCTGGCCCATCAGGCTTTCTAAATTCTTCAAAACAGCCACAACTTCCCCAGCTTCCCCAGCTCCCCTGCCCTCTTCAATTCCCTGAGATATAGCCAACTAACGACGCTACTGGAAGCCCCAGAGCAGATAAGAAGCACATCCTAAGATTCAGGGAAAGAAGAGGAAGGCTGTCCTATAACAAAGCAACTTCAAGTCCCAAGTAAGGACAGTGAGAGAAAAGAGGGGAGAAGGATTGGAGCAAAAGAGAACTGGCGATAAGTGGGGGAAGGAATAATTTCATTTTGCACTGGGAGAGAGGTTCTAACACACTGAAGGCAACACTATTTCTATTGTTTCTCTCTTGCCAGGGTATTAGGAAGGACAGGAAAAGTAGGAGGAGGCATTGCCCTGGGAAATGAAAGAATTGTGTATAGAATGGAAGGGGGAGCATCAAGGACATGTATCTCAAATTTTCTTTCTGTCCTTGCTGCAGTTCTCCTTCCCATTAATTCATTGGGATGGAAGCCAAAAATAAAAGAGGTGCCTCTGAGGGTTAGGATTGGGCACTCAAGGGAAGGATAGAGTAGAGGGCAAATTGCAAAAGTTGTTGCACTCCTGAAATTCTATTAACATTTCGGCAGAAGATGAGCAGGGTGATGCTGCCTTCCCTTTTGAGATAGTATAGAAAAACACTAGATAGTGTGAGAGGTTCCTTTCTGTCCACTGAAACAAGACTAAGGGTACTACCAACTACTACCACCATGACCACTGTACTGCCAACAATTGAATGCAGTCCCCCTGCAGGGCAGATTATGCCAGGCACTTTACATTGTTTGATCCCATTTGACATTCACACCAAAACTCTGAGTTCCATGTTACAGCTGAAGAAATTGAAGCTCAGAGAAATTAAGAAGCTTTTTTAAGTTTACACAGCTAGTAAGAGTTTTAAAAATCTCTGTGCAGAAGTGTAGGCTGGGTGCTCTCCCCACTGCTATCCTTGTAAACTTCCAGGAAGATTGGTTGAAAGTCTGAATAAAGTGTCTCCTCTCCTACCAGTTTCCTCCCCCTCCTCACTCTCACAAGAAAACCAAGCATTTCTCTTTAGAGTTGTTGACTCAGTACAGTAAAGGGTGGAGGGGATATGGCATTCTGAAGGTAGGGAGGGACTAAGTCAGTCTTCATACTAAGCACAAATCCCAGTACCTTTTCCTTATTTAGCTACCAGAATGATGACGGACTCAAACCCTGTCAAGACAGGACCCTGGAGGATCCACCTATGGGGAAACTGCATTATCTGAAAAAATGGCTGACAGATACAAACAGTTGAGGATCCTTCAACACAAAAACTGGGTATCTGCCCTGTTACTCACCTGACAATGAAGCCCACAATGCAACGAATCCCTTCCACTCACAGCATTTGGTCAACCTGTCAGAGCCTCATTCTTAATTATGAACAACAGTCAGTGAACACAATACATTAGAGGGAAAGGCCCTAACACGAAAGGCACTAACAAATAAATGTGAGAGTAGATAGAGACCTTTTGAGTATAACAGGTCCTCCGAAATAAGAGATTAAACCAAGATAGAGAAAAACACAGTAAGTAGGAAATAAGGAATCTGACACAGGTGAGAGTGAAGGGAATTCCCAGGATGTTGGTGTGTAGCAGGCTTAGAAAGCAACTCATTCATGTTGGAGCAGGACTCTTAAGGGACTCTAGGAGAGATGTCTCCCAGAAAAACAAGAAATTAATTGATTCATGCACATTGAGAGGGATTTAGATTTCTCTTGCAGAGATTGAGATAAACTAGTGACAAATACATAGAAAAATAAGCAAGTGAAAACACAATACAGTTTTTAAATGATAGAGGAAAAGAAACTTTTGTATTAGAGAGGAAATATAACCATAGTACACTACATGGCTCAGCTGTGAATAATATTTACATAGAGGATAATGTGAATATAGTAGTTCCCCATTATCTGTGGTTTTGCTTTCTGCAGTTCAGTTACAGCCAACCAGTCTGAAAATATTAAATGGAAAATTCCAGGAATAATTCTTAAGTTTTAAAACATGTACTGTTTTGAGTAGCATGTTGAAATCTCACACAATCCCACTCCACCCATGTTCTGGGCATGGCAAAGTGGGATGGTGTGAGATTTCTCCAGTGGATCCACAATGTATATGCTACCCACCCATGAGTCACTTAGTCATTATCCAGTTGATCAGACCAACTGTTGTGGTATAGCAGTGCTTGTGTCAAAGTCACTCTTATTTTACTTAATAATGTCCCCAAAGCATAAGAGTAGTGATGCTGGCAAATAAGATACACCAAAGAGAAGCTGTAAAGTGCTTCTTCTAACAGAAAAGGTGAAAGTTCTTGACTTAATAAAAGTCATGCTTTTTTTAGCATGACTAAAAAAAAAAACACATGCTGAAGTTGCTAAGATCTACAATAAGAACAAATCCATCTGTAAAATTGTGAAGAAGGCAAAAGAAATTTGTGCTAGTTTTGCTATTGTACCTCAAGTTACAAAAATTATTTATTACACCCCACGGTGTGTAATAAATGCTTAGTTAAGATGAAAAAGTATTACATTTATGGGTGGAAGACATGAAGAGAAATGTGTTCCAATTGACAGCAATCGGGTTTGGTACTATTTGTGATTTCAGGAATCTATTGGGGGTCTTGGAATGCAACTCCCACAGATAAGGGGGCGCTGTTGGAGTGAAATACTGTGATATAACCTGTTTTTCAGGAAATGAAGGGACAAGATGTGCACATGTGTGGGAGAAGCATAAGAAACCTAAGTTGCCATATTCCATCACAGAAAATGCATAATAACTAAAGCTGGAAAATGATGAATAGCTGTACAACCATATTATTTAGCTATAGGAGGTAAATACAGGTAGAAGCAGAAGAAAGAATGGGCAGGGATTACCTCTATGGAGAAGTTGGGGGTGGGAGGATAGGGTGGGGACTTCTCATTTTGAAAACTGTGTAATTGCCTAACTTGTGAATATGTATTTCTGAAGTAAAATGAAAATTAAGTTAAAATTAAATTTTAACATTCAAACTAATTCTGAGTTGTTTTTCAAAAACAAAAAAGACAGGAAAGGCCATCAGAAATGGAAACTGAACATTGGCAGAAAAAAGGAAAGTAGGAAAGGACTAGAGTTGGATTTCGATTCTTGAGAGAAGCCCATCTAGTCCTGCCATGGGAGACAAGTCCTTTCTTGGGGTGAGGAAAGTCACTTTCTGGGATTAGAGGAGATCTGATGTGTTACTTGGGATATTTTCAGTTGCAAGTAACAGAAAACCCAACCCCAAGTGGCTTACATAATAAAGGAATTTGATTATCTCATATAACTGAAATATACTAAGGGAAGTTGGACTTCAGGCCCTGTTCAACCAGGGCCTCTGTGGGCCTTCCTCCCCAGATGTTGGCTCTGCCATGTGGGTGAATCCCCTCATGGAAACAAGCTGACTGCAAGCAGCCTGAGGCTACTTCCTTATTTGTTTCTAAAACAAACTAATGAAGAATGGATTACTCTGAATGAGGATGATGACAGTACACACCTAAAGTAGTTGGGGTGAAACCCACTGAAATCTCAGCTGGGAAAGGGGTAAAATGGGGCTTGCAGTGGCCACATATGTACTGCAAATGAGGTGGAGATAGAGCTGCCAACCAGCCAGGCATCCATGCCGGGTGTGGCCTATACCTGAGCAGGCAGCCGGGCAGCTTTGAAGGGTGGGGGTAAATGTGGGCTCTAGGAAGAAGGGCAAAAGTTAAATTTTGAATTTCGATTGTGAAGTCATAGGGATGTTCAATTATCAATGAGAAACCTTAACAATTTTCCAAGGGCAAAGTGGCCCAAATAAAGCTGGGAGTAACAGAGCAAACAAGGTCCTTAGGATGAGCAATAAGGGAGGGGTTGTGAATTATTAGTGTCTAAGGTGTGTGTGTGTGAGAGAGACAGAGAGAAATGTAATGGCTTGCTTTTCCTTTTTCCAGCCGGAGTGAAGCCTCCTATTTGTTGAGATATGTCCTTGGAGAGGAAACAAAATGGAAGTCTTTATTTACCATAGCAAAAGCCAAAAGTGTCCTGGGGTTTTGGACACAGCTCTTTTTGTTTAAGAGAGTGGGTATTTCCTCAAGCAAATACATACGTTGTTCAACTGGGAGAAAGGATTTTTGTCATGTAAACTTTGGTGGAATTAAGAGACTGAAACTGTGCTTTCTCAATGGGGACCTAAGAAGCAAATGCCATTATATTTTGTAACTGTGTTAAATTCTTTATTTTGAATTTGATTAAGCTGATTTTCAGTTTATTCTGAAGTAGAGATTATGTCAAACTGGCCAAAGATGGGTTAGGAGAGGACATGGCTTTCTATAGATAATTTATTTTTCTGTTTTGAAAATAATTTGAAATTAGAGACCCAATCAGGGGAAAATGAGAGTGGGGAGTGGGCACAGGGGTAACTCTAGGGATGGGTTGATGGAAGATCCTTACTCTGAAGACATCTCATCCCCAAGCAGATGAAGGCAACTGCTTGGGGCTAATAAAAGCCACCAAGAGAAATATAATGAGAAAAAGACTTGTTAGAATGTTAATATGTATTTTAAAGCTCTAATAAGTTTCCTTAAAGTATAGCATTGGCATAAGAATCCACAGAGAGATTAAATAAATAGCTTGGACACAGATGCTAATTTATCTGGGGAGTTTGAAAAGCCTCAGAAGAGGTAGCTGCATGATGTGCTGAGGAGGCTAAATTCTAAGCCCAAGAACCTCCATCCCCAACCCCTGAAGACCCCTACATCCCAAGTGTGGGGTGACAGCAGGGAGAACCTGCAGCTTAGGTCAGTGGACCAGTGTGTACTGGTGGTTGCCTATCAGAGGAGTCTCCCTAATGAGCTGGCTCATGTATGGCCTCAGGATCTTTGCATAACCTTCAAGTTAGGGAAAAACCATCATATTGCTCACAAATTGGAAAGCCATTGTAACAACCAAGACTGAATTTCCCCGTTAGCTTAATGGGACAGGTGCTTAAAATTTTATATAAATTGATGTAAACTAATGTTCTTAATATTAAGTATGATGCCTGGATGAGAAGTTTCTATTTATTCTGGGCCTATGACCCTGGAGAAGTTTTTCAGAGAGATTCTGTCTGACTGCTCCAGCACAGTGTTTCAGCTCACAGTTCATATGTGGACTATGGAGATTTAGTATGCAGAAGATCACATCAAACTTGCTCAGAAGTTATATCAAAGCAGAATCACATGAATGTTTATGTGTAAGAGCACCTGGTTATAGATTACAGAGTCATAATCATTAACCCTGTGTATTAGTCCATTTTCTTTTATTTATTTTTTTATTTTTTGAGACAGAGTTTCACTATTGTCACCCAGGCTGGAGTGCAATGGCATGATCACAACTCACTGCAGCATCCACCTCCCAGGTTCAAGTGATTCTCCTGCCTCAGCTTCCCGAGTAGCTGGGATTGCAGTTGCCTGCCACTATGCCCGGATAGTTTTTGTACTTTTAGTAGAGACAGGGTTTCACCACATTGGCCAGGCTGGTCTTAAACTCCTGACCTTAGATGATCTACCCAACTTGGGCTTCCAAAGTGCTGGGACTACAGGCATGAGCCACCGTGCCTGGCCAGTTCATTTTCATGCTGCTAATAAAGACATACCCAAGACTGGCCAATTTACAAAAGAAAAAGGTTTATGGGACTTACAGTTCCACATGACTGGGGAGGCCTCACAATCATGGTGAAAGGTGAAAGGCACGTCTCACATGGCAGCAGACAAGAGAAGAGAGCTTGTGCAGGGAAACTTCCATTTTTAAAACCATCAGATCTCCTGAGACCTATTCACTGTCACGAGAACAGCACTGGAGAGACCCAACCCATGATTCAATTACTTTCCACCAGATTCCTCCCACCACATGTGGGAATTGTGGGAGTTTCAATTCAAGATGAAATTTTGGTGGAGACACAGCCAAACCATATCACCCTGTTAGACATTATCTTACATGTGGGAAAAGGCAAGGAC